AGGTTTCTGTATTCCAAAGCATTTCAAATGCAAATGATAGCTCTGGAAATGAAGTCACCTACTGGATTTTGGTGAAAATGTGTCTTTTGGTTCTCTCTAGCCGGAGGCAATTTGGGCCCAAAGCCAAGGAAGAGGTGAAGATCATTGAACACCAACTGCAGACCCTTCGGCTGATGCCTCACCTGGCCACAGCCTTGGCTCTGACCTTCGCCAGCAGGTGAGATGGCTCTTGGGGTTTGCTCCCTCAAGGTGAGTGTGATGCCCTGGCATGAGTAAAGGACTCAGAAAAGGCAGGTGCAGGACTTCATTTTATAACTGTAATCAGAAATGAGTCTGTAGTTAAATCCAATGCCCAGATTAAAAGTGAAGTCTGAATCTTCATAGTCTGTATATCCAGGGGAATGGAATCCACAGAGAATTTGAGAAGACTTGAATCAACGTTTATTTCTCCAGAGTTTCTCAAAGTAACAGATTGAACAATTAAAATTTACCTTCTGTTAAATAAAATTTATAGTAAAGTTTTCACAAGGAGGTAAAGGTGGGTGTATGTGGGTTGGGTGAGGAAAAAGTCAGGATATTGAATAAAATAGCAGTAAGTACACATGGAAATTCCCATTTTACCACGGCCCTTCATCTGTGCCTTCCCCAAAGTGCCACTCTGGGCAGTTGTCTGTCCTGTTATCATCACCACTGCCTTCTAAGTATAAGACTTGGGGATTTGCCTAAGATCACAGGGCCCAGGGGAAGGTGAACTAGGAATGGAACTCTAAATTTTGGACTGTATCCTATATCCTGTCCTCCCTAGATAAGCAATTCTATTTCTCAGTGTTAACTACAGTACCGTATTTTCCCATGTATATTGTATGCTTACGTTTTTGGCCCAAACTTTCAGGCAAAAAAACCCCTTTCATTTTATTTTTTAATTCAAATTTTAAAGCTTGCAGTGTATGAAAACTGTTTCAACATTTTCCAAGGGAATTTCCAATAATTTTTGTAAAAATATCTGCTAGATGGCTAGCTCTTACCCAAAGTACACGAAGAGAAATATGTTGTTCTTCATTGGCCAAAAATGCTTTCGTTGCATGTTCGTTGTGAATTTAATAAAACTGATTACCATATTCCAGGGTAGTATTTTGCATATGGATATTGATATTGCTTCCTAGAGTTACACTTTCAACTTATAAGCAGAAAAAAAAGAATTGAAAACATTTATATAGGTATGGAATTAGTACTGTTCATTTATAATGCACACCCTTATTTTTTCCTCAAAAATTTGGGCAAAAAGGCTTGGTGCCCATAGCACAGTGGTTACAGCATCAGCCACGTACATTGAGCCTGGCAGGTTCGAACCCAGCTCGGCCAGCTAAACAATACCAGCTAAACAATAATGACAACTGTAACAGAAAAGTAGCCGGGTGTTGTGGCGGTTGCTTGTCATCTCAGGTACTTGGGAGGCTGAGGCAAGAGAATCGCGTAAGCCCAAGAGTTTGAGGTTGCTGTGAGCTGTGACACCACAGCACTCTACCTAAGGTGACATAGTGATACTCTATCTCAAAAAAAAATTGGGCAAAAAAGTGTACATTAATGGGTCTATTGTATACTTCCTATATGAAGGAGACAATTACAAGTTGAATCTTAACGTTATAAAAGCGAATTATGTAACTTGATTGGATATGCCCCATATTAATCTGAAATAAAAATTTCCATAAACAGTCCCCCAAAATGTATTATATATG